ACTTTTTTTTTTACTTTTTATATATTAGAAAACGTTTGTTTTTGAGTGAAAATTTTAAAATTCTATGTGAGTGAACACCTAATAAACTAGGTTAAAATTATTAAAAACAAACACATGTGTCATTGTCTTAATTAAATTAAAATCTTGCATAAAATTAAATCTTGCATAATTAATGTTGATTGATTGTTGGAGCTTAACAGTAATATGTAAATCATGTTTCGGGAAGACCAGTTTCGTTTCCTGTGTACTTCATTTCACAAACACCGATCGTACTCAATACATCAGCTATTTTATATCCCGGGATTTATTTATTATACACAACAATGCCACGCGGAGAGAAAAGGAGAACTGGTTCGAAAAAAAGAAAGACAGACACTATGTCAGAGAAAAAAGAATGTTATTGAAGGAATCATACCGTGGTTCCTATCATAATAAAAAAGAAGACGATTTTTGGTTCATATTATACCGACAGTGACAGCTCCACGGCAGAATCATCATCATCATCTTCAAAGGACATTTATTCGTAAAATGTACTAAATTACAAATAAATATTTACAAAGTATAAAGTAATAAATGTACAAATATAAACAAAACGAATAAAACTGAAAATCATTATGTACAAGCAGTGATTACGTGTACGGGCGGGGAGGGCAAAGAGCAACGAGTAAAAAAAACAATAAAGTCGATATGTATTGGAGGGGTTAATATCGAAAAAAAGGTGACTTGTATTTGTATTTATATATTTACATATTATATGTACAAACATAGAATTAGAAATTAACTTCAAGTTCATTGTTCGTTACTGTGCATAGTGAATTGCTGATGTCCCATATATCACAGAAAGTTTGTATATCTTGTTCAAGTTTGTAGTATTCATATTCCAGTCTGGTTTTAAATATTTCGAGTAGGTCTACAATTGTCTGGTGCTGCATTTTGTTTCTTCTGCTCAGGTGTATTGCCATCTTAACTGTACTGGTGATGTAAACGAATTGGTGAAGAGCATGTTTGTTAACAAATGTCCTGCACTTA